TATTTTGACAGATAACTGGATTTTCAGTGATCTATCCAAATGACTAGTACTCACTTTCAAAAGTTTATGCAAAAAGTTCTCTAGTAAATTAACAACCTACTTAAAAATTTACCAAAAAAATGCAACCTACTCTTAAGACATTTGGGTAGTGGCTCTACAAATAAACGACAAGGTGGAGTGGATAAAAAAAACATTGAGGAACACTGTTTTAAGTGGATTATTAAACCACCAAAACTTAGTCCAGTTTAGAAATGCGTTTTCGACAATTTAAAAAGTTTAAGGCAAATAGTATAAGAAAAAAAGTCTTCATTAATGTAGTGTCATATTGAACTACAATCAGGAATTCATACAGAGGTATAAAGCTGCAGTAAATGTCCCTGTCTTTTCGTGTATGCTGGAACTAGGGTCTAAAAGAATCTGAGCGACTGGTGCGTTCGTTAAAGAGCAGGAGTTTCATCTCTCGCGCAAATCTGCAGGACAGCGATACGCTATAACATCTTTATGTCTGGACGAAACGCCAGGCGGAATTGGCGTACTGCCAGTGATGAAGAAACGTCGTTGCTTAGAAAAATATAGTTATTAAGATGTGACTCTAAAAACTTGAAGGGGGATAGTGTCTTTTACATTGTTCACTTTTAACTCATCTGAAGTATCGAACGAGCTGCAGAAGACATAATTTTGACGGGACATAGCTTTAGCATTTGATCAAAATATCTAGGAAAAATGGTTTTTTTTATTTACGGATCGAGTTTTTTTTCCCAAACTCTGTCACTTTTTTACAATACTGTGAACTCATAGGGCTTCACATATAATCGTGACTGAAACTGGATTGTTGTTTGTCTTTGGTAACAGTTTTGCTGTTTTTTCCAAGTAATATTGTAATAATGTTTTATTCCATCAGATATATAACGGTCAGCCTCCTATTTTCTAAAATTTCATGCCATTCATCTTTGATTAAGTCAAGTTATTAGTTGTCTTTTCTTTATTAGCTCTTTCGTCATTCTTAAAACTGAGGCACGAGAAAGCTGCTGGATAAAACATCTCTCAGTACTGTCAGTAACATTTCTATTTAAAGCATTACTTAATTTGAAAATGAAGAGAATTGTGAGAAAATTGTGGAAAAAAATCAAAGAATCACTGCGTGGCTTTTAGGAACGTGCTTGAGGGCTTTACCAGGTATTCTGAGAACGGTTAAACTTTTAGTCGGGTGTTTTTCTGCTTTGTAAAGTTTGCGAAATAGTATCATCTTCGTAATCTTTCTTATGTGCAGCGTAACCTTTGCGCAGAAGAATTTCAATTTTAGTGATAAACCGTGTGCATTTGTTGCACTAGACCAGCTAAGTGTCGTGGAAGATGGCATTTTTTGGCTTTTTTCTGAGAAATTTAGTCAGAATTGACAGTGAATATGTATGTATTGTGTTGGAAAGGTTCAGATATACTGTTGCATACAAGAGGATTTCAAAAAGAGGGGTTTGAAAAAAGATTAATTTCTAATTTAGAGTGAGTATGTGTCATTATTGGGCGATCAACCTTCTGGTGCATTTTTTTTTTTTTTTTTTTTTTTTTTCTGTGGCTTTTTTTCATTCGATATAATGACGCTTTAGCATTTTCACTTGTTTTCATGTTATATTAGCGTTATTAAAATTTTGTTACATCAATGTCTTTTCAGTATCATCGTAGCGTGCTGCATATCGTTTAGCGGTTAAGTTCAGGTTTTTTAGTTAGTTATTTGCGGCAAAAAACTTGAAGGCTTTTCTGAAAAAGTTCTTGCTGATTGTATTTTGGTATCTATTTAGGTTTTTTACACCGGCTTTTTCGAACTTTGATCATGCTATTCGAAGTCTTAGTTACTTTCTACAGTTTTTTTAAAGTTTTTATGTCAAAAGAGTTTTACCAGTTTTTGTTTTTCCCGATGATTATACATGTAAATTTATTCGAAGCGCTGTGGGGTGAATGCACTTTATTAGTTGTAATGCTGTTTTCATACTTTCAAGAAAAATTGATTCAGAAGGGATTTACGCCAAAAGCAAATTTATTTCCAGGAAAGTTTAAGCAAACATTTTCAAATGTTTTTTCAAATACAAGTCATGTTTTGAGGGAAATTATTATTTGGTATGTATAATATTTGTACCATTTATTCTGCTGTCGTCGTTATATGTATTTTTGCTTCTGTTTTTTTAATTTAGATTTCTGTTATGTGTGATTGCCTACTTGGCAGTGGTTTTTATTTTGAAAAAGTGAAAACGCTGATTTTGTTCTGATCAAACGTTATTTAACTTTGCACAGTGAGTAAAAAAGAAAATAGTGAGAAGCTGTGTTTTTTATTCGACGAATTTTTGCTTAGATCCTTATATTTAGTGTTGCTTATCTAGCTCTTTATATTGCCTTTTAAGAGTTGGAAAGGCATTTTTTTTTGCTATAACCATCTGAAGTTTGAAGAATTCTTGAAAATAGTAAATTCTGAAAAAAAGTTAATTTTGCAGTGTCTGTGTTGATTTTAACAATGGGTGTCGAGTTTCGGAATGGAAAATAGGAATTCAGCATTGTCAACAGTGAAGGAAGGCGAGGCCTTAAATAATTTTTTTGCTAAGGATTTGCGAGATGGAAAGGAAGTGCGAATTACTATTGATAGCGAAAATACAGAGCTTCTGGCATCGAAAACTCAGGATCAGGCTAACTATTCTGAGGAAGATTTGGATAAAAAGTCGTTTTCCAGTAGCACTTGCGAAAGTTCATTTGTGGATGGTTCCTTAGACGAGGTTGTGGTTGGATCATGTCGAAAAACGAATTCTTGTAGTATAGACAGTGATGAAAATGAGGATGATTTACGTTCATCCACAGAAGACAACGAATCAGAAGATAGCTTCTGCTCTAATGAAGAATCAACTGAAGCAGAAAGTGAAAGCGTTAATGAAGATGCAGCTGCTGTTTTTGGGTCCGATTACCGCAGCAATTTGGAGGAAATAAAAGAAGACCGAAAATATAGTTATCCTGAGCAAGCGTCTTTGGTGGATCCTTTCAGCTTACTTAATGATTATGACAAAATCGACCCCAAAGACCGGCCCACTCCGGTTGATTTGGAGGCTGGTGTTTATTGGTTTGTTGTGCCGGTCAGTTTTTCTCAAGTTAATCTTTTTTACGTCTATTCTTTTGCAAGTTAGGAGGCAAAGGGTGAGACTGGACACGTAATGTAATTTTTTTTTGTAGAATACATCTGAAAGAAATTGTATTTTTCCTTTTTTTATCATTAAGTGTCTCGGTCTTATTTTTTGTGTTTTGTGGCTTTCAGTATAAGATTTTATGATTTTATTGGTGTAAGGTTTGCTAGTTTCAATCCTTTGATTCTTCTAGTAGTCACGGTTCAATTTTTGATTTTTGTTGAGTGATTAGTTTTTTTATAGTTTCTTACTAGTGCAGTTTAATTTTGAAGGTTTGAACAAGTTCTATGTTATTTACAGTTTTGCAGTAACGATCTTTTTTTGCAGAATCCTGACAATTGTGGAATACTTTGGAGGATGTTGCCTGTATGTTGATTAACACTTTATTGATTTCAACTTCAGAATTTTGAAGTCATCTTTGGCAACTTCTGCATCTAGTATTTATCCACTGCAGAAAAAACGATAAAATATTTTTGTTTCTTGTGTTGTTCCAAGAAAGTTGGTGGATGAACTTGAAAGAAAATTTTAGCCAGTTTTTTTAGAATAAGCCTAAACTTGGACGCTTACGACTTTTGAATCGGGCTTTGGAGTTGACAGAAGGTTTATACAATCAGGATAAAGAAGGCAAGAAACCACAAGAAGAACCGAAAGTGAAGAAACTTGTGGATCTATATAGGGCTTTCAGCATTCATATTCGAGTGGTAATCGTTTGTTCACTTTTTTTTAAATTTACATTTTATATTTTTCAAATATGCGGAAGATATTGTTATTCAGAGCTTTGCAGGACAGAATTTTTTTATTTGTTTTAGAAGCACCCGATAATGGGGGAAGGGACTTGTTTAGCACTAGTATTTGTTGGAGAAACAGTTCTTTTAAAGCCGGAGACGAAAAGCGATACGGATGTCGATTATTGGCACCGTTTAATGATGAGCATCAAAGTTAAGGATTTTCCTGAAATTTACGGCAGACCAGTAACACGACATGATTTTATGGATGTAGGCGGCTGTTCGGATTTAGTTCTATTTTATTCTCGTTTTTTTGGCACTTGCCTTTACGAATTCGTTTGTTACTTAAATGTTTAGGTGAAACAGGTGAGAAAAACAGTTATACAAAAGCCAGAAAATTTTAACTTCCAAGTTTAAGATAAAAAGATTTTTTTTATGGGGAGGGGGGGGGGTACTGTGGAACGTAGGGCTCTTATGAAGCAGTTTTTGAAGAAAGTTTGCTTTTTTGGCTTATCTATTAGACCCGACCGTAGCTACCCAAAAAATAATAAGGGAGGTAGCTTAAAGGACATTATTTAAGGTTGCGTGGGCAGTATCTATTGTTGGAAAGCCGACCATTTGGGATTCTCCTGATCCCTTCCCAGGATCAGCAGATATATACAAAGCTCATCGCTTTTTTCAAGGCCCGAAGTGGTACTTTTTAATACGCGTTTGATTTTTCATTGATTATTGCTTCAATTTCTAGTGGCTTTGAAATTGTGCTAATTAAATCTTATATACTTTTTGAGATTTTTTGACAGTCTAGTGTAAATTTTCTTCCAACTTTACATTTTATGTTCCTTACGGAAGTTTTTGATATAATGAAGGTAAAACGGCTGGTGATAATAACTGTCTTTCTTTAGTTTAGAAGATTCCGTTTTATTTGACAGATCAAATGAACTGTTGAAAGAAGCTGTTAATCTATATCAAGTAACATCATTTTTAAGTTAAAAGTTGCTTAAAATTATTGTTTTTCCTGAAGCATTTAAATTAGAATTTTTTCGCTAAGGAACGTGAAAAAAGTAAGGCACAGTAATGGAAGTTGAGAATGTAATGGGCAGTCTGAAAGATGTAGGACGTAGAAAGTCGGATTTAGGTAAGAATAAAAAGAAGCGCCTATCGGATGAGGCCTCATACGACTATAATGAAAAAAAAATAAAACACGCTGGAAGCTTTTTGAGCTCTTTTAAGGAGACTTGTGGACATTGTAGATCAGGAAATGTGTATAAGAGAGTTCATAATCATAAACTTTATAAATTTCATTTACTCAAAGGTCATCGATATTCAAAGTTTGTAGAAGTATAACCGTTCTGAAACGTATGAAACGTGCAAAATTTTGTTCTATTGACTTCAATTCCTTTGATGTTTCTCACCGTTTTGAATCTTTAAAACTTTTATAACTTTCAGCTTTTAGTTTTTCGTTCGTGTTTCGATAATTACTACACGCTTCAGGTTCGCTATATATGATAATACTCTTTATCTTTGTGACCAGGATGTCATTCCACAGCGATGTAATCCTCCTTATCGACCTGATAATTCTGTTGAAATCCCGGTTTGTGGTTCTTTCTTATCTTTTCTTATCAAATTTTAGTACGTTGTATATGGAATTCTTTCGTTTTAGTGGGGTGTGGTCTACCAGATTGGTGTGGAACGATGTTATTTTTATTTACGCATGACTGGAAATGGGCCCTGGGGACTTGGGACTATTTATCTCATGCTCGAGTCATGGAGCGCCGCTAAAGCCGTCAGTGCTCATTTTAGGTATTTAAGCAGTAGCAAAAACCATTTTCAGAAAATCAGGGTCAGAGACGCTGAAGAGACAGAAGAAACCCCGCAGGAAGAAAGCAAATCGTTAGTTCTTTTACTCTTCTCCTCTACTTCCTTTGCTTTTGCACTGAGTTCTTCACGCATACGCTTATTTTTTATGTTATTAGTCTGGATAACATTAATGAGGTCAACTCTGAATTCTCTTTTAAGTTTTTGTTTTGTATTTACTTTAGTACATATGGCACTGGTAATATATTCTTTCTTCCAAATCAAGTCTGTTTTTTTGCCTGCTTCTTTTATACAAGCGCAGATGTTTCAAAAGTCAATCAAAACTCGTTGTTCGTTCTGTCCTTACTGTGCATCACTTTCGTCAGGAAATTGATCGGTTCTTAGAGCTCATAGAGGTCACTTTTTTAGACCTGTAAATTCTAATGTCTCAGGTATGACACGATACATTTTCGGTTATATGGTCAAGTTATATAATTGACTGTTTCTCATGCAACTTCAATTAATGCTTACAAATCTTTTCTTTTTCTGATTGTCTTCTTCGTTTTTTTCATAACGCCTCGTGGATATCTTTTAAGTATGGTTTTTTGAGCTACCCTCTTTCAGCTGGTTTTTTTCTTTATCTGGCTGGAAATCGAGACAGCGTCGTGAACGACTTCGAGAAGAAGGGAAGGTTGCACCGTTGTTGCAAGAGTCTGTTTTTTTTCTATTTTTTTTAAAAGACAGATACAGTCCTCTAAAAATTAAAATTTTTAAAGTTGCATAGCAAATGTAGGCAATAGGACGTTCATACTAAGGCGCATACTCTTTCCAAATGAAATTTTCTTTTTTTTTTTTAAAAATGGGTGTTTGGTGGAACGTGACGCTGGATATACAAAGTCAGAAAAGTTTTTTGGAAGTTTAGTTCTTGCCAGAGTCAGGATTGACTGCAACTTTTGGCTTTTCAAATCTACCTTTTGAAAGCCATAGTTCAGACCAGCCATAATGGGAATCAGGGGTGATTAATTTGCCTAAATAATCTTACTGTACAAAATTAGCCTTGGGGTTGTTTCGGTTTTACAAGTACTGGTTTTCATTGCAGGAATAAACGAATTGACCTGTTTGACAGATTAATTCCGAAGACCCAAAAAGATTTGGAAATTGAAATGGAGCAGATGTCGGCTCCTCCAATTGAGGAACAAATTCTTCAGGCTATCGCACTCTGGCACACGCACCCTGCGCCTCCTTAGTTAATAAGATTATCTGTTTTGTTTCTTTGTTGAATCCCCGTAGATATCATAGGTCATTAAATATTGACCGTAGTTTAACCGAATGTTTGGCGTTTTTTGCAGTCCTAGAACTCTAGAAGAAGCAATGGAACCAAAGTCTTTTTTCCCCGGTCCACCTGAAGAAAGAGATGTTCCAGTAGTGTTGGATAAAGAAGGCAAACTTGAAGTACCTTCTACATCAAAGTCGTCTCGTGAAAGACATCACACTGGTGAGCAATTGGTCATCGGTATTATCACAAACTTTCTTTGTTTTGTTCCACTGATTAAGGATTTACTCACTTGCAGAGAAAATAAAGTTTTAAACTTTCTTCGTTTTGTTCCACTGATTTAGGATTTACTCACTTGCAGAGAAAATAAAGTTTTTTCGTGGAGTGGACTACGTTCACATGAAAAACGATGGTACGGTTCTAACTGATGAACAGCCGTGTAAGTTGTCATTATTTTCAAATTTGATTATTAGTAGTAAAGTTCTCACAGAAATTTTTTTCAAACGATGCATTTGGTGAGGACGACCCTTTTTTGTAATACAGAGTTTTTTCATTTTCGAATTGATTAAGAAAGTATAGGCTGCTCTAATCTTAAATGGCAGAATGGTCCTTCAGGCTTTTTTTTTTGCTCTCAAGGGAAACCCTCGCTTGGTCACATGGTTTTCCTTTGGTTTTAGGTCTTCCTGTCCACTCAGAAAATAATACAAAGGTGAATTTGGAGTCTAAGCTGAATTCCGAAGTAATGCGTGAAAAAATCGCTGAAGCTTTAACAACTACAAACTTTAAAAGTATTTTTTAAGAAGTTTTCTAAGTTAGAATTATTTACTTTTGTTTCATTTAGTTTTTTATTGTATTGGATGAGGAAAAATTAGTGATTAAATGCAGTTCAAGTTTTTCTGGCTTAATTTTTTTTCATATTAGGTTGGGAAACAAAATGTTTTTTAATGCCGTTTCAGTTCCTCCAACTGAAGAACAGCGAAAAGATCTTGCTAAAGGGCGGAAAAGAGCAGCGACCAGTCATTCTTTCTTTGATCGGCGTTTGAGTGGTATTTTTCGCAGGGCTCATTCACTGAAGACAAAATGGTATGGTAATGGAGTTAAGCCAATTTGACATCTGGGTAAAGTCGTAGGTTGATGAGAAGTGGGTTTTACTGTCAGGTTGCGACCACCTCGAAAATCGAAACTTGAAGGCATGACAGATGCAGAATTGTTCAAATGGCCTGTGCTTGAAAGAAGGACTCGCCAAGACAGTTTTGGTGACACAGATAGTAAGGACTTAACAGATCATTTCAAAAATTTGTTCGGGTTTGTTTGCTTTAATTGCAAAACAAAACGTTGTAGATGGTTGGAGAGTAATTTAGTAAAGTTTTGCTTTTTCAATCGCTTCAACTTATTTTGGGAGAATTTCTGAATACGTTGGTTCAAGCTTAAAAAGTATGGAAGAAATTCGAATGATTTGGTTCTTTAAGAAAGTGAGAACTTTTCATTTGGTTATGCAAGTTGATAATATCTACAGCATTTTTCAACGAGTAAGCTTTTAGCTGATTTATTTCCAAAAACAGTGTATGGACAATCTTACCTGAAGGAAATTCATGAAAAGAAGAGGACGTATCCTGAACAGGAAGAAGACGTCCAGTGGGATTTTTCAGGTTTGTCGTCTTTCTGATCTTCTTTGTCTTTCCAGTTCTTGAAAGAAATTTCTGATTTGAAATAAAGATTTTGTCTAAGTTTCACTTAAAATTTGTCTAGGTAATAAACCAAAGCCTTACCACAAGTTTACTTACGAATTGGCCGCTGCTCTGCAACTTGATGCAAATGTGAAAGCAGCGTTAAAGCGAGAAGGCCCGCTCATCCGACCGGTGTTTTTTTTTTCTTGATTATTTTTTACAAACGTATATTCTTCCCAAATAAT